TTGTTTTTTTCTTAATGTCACACATGGCTCCAGACATATTGTATGCAGCTGCCCTCACGGGTGTCCACGCCTCAGCTACACCTAAATCATGCTCTTTTGATCATTCGTTTGAGTGGGAGGATGACATCAAAAAACTTGATAGGAAGAATGGGAAGCCTGCCATCTTTCTTACAGAAGCCGAAGGTATTCAACTTTCTTTCTTCTGTCGTCTGAATTTGGTTAGAAAATTTCTATATGGTCATCCCAAAGTGGAGCTTATTTGCAAGAAATTTGAAATTATGCAACTTGTTGGGGAGTGAAAAATTGGACTATTAGATGGAAGACACATTGTTATTCATATTAATAATGAAGAAGATTACATACGATTATTTGCTAGAAAAATAATCTAGATTGATAACAGAGCAATGAAGTTTCTGAAATGGTCTGTGGATTTTGACCCACAGACGGAACCCCGAATCATTTCAGTTTGGATTTGCCTTCCTGGTTTGAAATTTCATCATTTTTTCTCAAAAAGTGTTGTATTCTATTGTCTCAGCTTATGGTAAGCCACTCAAGACGAACATTCCTACTTTTAATCTTTCTCGTTCATTTGAAGCTAGAGTACTTGTTGAAAGAGACATTACTTCTTCCGCTTCTGAGGAAATTTGGTTGGGCACATAATATCATGGATATTGGCAGAAGGTAGAGATTGAACATTTTTCTTCGTATTGTTCGAAGTGTCGTATGTTCGGCCACTTCAGTTCTCAATGTCATCATCTACATCCCCACCTCAGACCAAAAAAACAAAATACTCTTCTAGAGGCAGTGATTCCAACTTCACCTGATCAACTTCAAGTTATTAACACTATCAATCATCAAAAGGATACACCTGAAGACATCACTATTCCCGCAGTCAGTATATCAACCATTCAGTCTCCACACATTGTTGCATCTCTCCCGTCTTTGGAACCTCCTATTGTGAAGGCGAGGGAGATTCTTCGAACTCCGCCTGCTTTTGAACCTATCACTGATATTACAGGTGAAAATACATGCTGCTTCACTACTTCCTCATCAAGTCCAAAAAGATGTCAATGCGACTCAGACTCAGAGGGATGATGATGTGTAACGGGCTACACCTGTCCGGTCACTTTTGGACCAATCCATTGATCAGATGAGTCAATCCTCAGATGAGGAATGACAGAATGACAAGTCTACATAGTCTACATATCCAGGAGGAAGAAGAAAAATGGAGACATACTTGAGCTCAGAAATCTGATGGATGATGCTTTGGTTACTTCAGTTGATGGTACGCACTTTACCAATTTGTTAGTTGATTCTCTTCTGAGAACTAGAGGCAGAGGAAAAACTAAAGTGGGACGTCCCTAACACCTTTGCACCTGTTGGTGTATCTTTAGTTTTTTTTTATTTTTATGTATCTTTGTTTCTTTGGGTTTTTGTGTGTGTTGTATTGTGTGAGCTGAGCCTTCTTTTATGTCATCTCATACAACATATTTGTACGTTATCTTCTTTAATATATTAGCCCTTGGGCTTTATGTATATATATATATATATATATATACCA